TACCAGTGATGTCAAACCAAAGAGGTATTCCAGGAGGCTCGACAGATATTACTCCAATCATGTGAGCAACGGGGTCACTTTCCATCACAGTAAAGGTAAAAAATGATTCTTCGAATGAAATGGGCTCCGGGGATGGTTTGGGTTTGGAGATCCATTCGATATGGAGCCTGGTGGTTGATGACTTTTGAGGGCGACCATTGTCAACTGCTTTAATCTATAAAACACGGGCACAGGGGATTAAAAACAGCAAATCAGAAATTACGGGCCAGAAATGAAGGAAGCACAGACTGGTTTGGGCTTAAACTGGGCCGATTTCAGACATTTAACATTTGTATACTGCGTTTTGAACGCGTTTTGCCTGATAAAAGAACAACCCTTTCATGACCACATTCCACATAAACAATAAGCACCCTGAGTGACAACCGAAAAGGAAAACCAAACCCATCCTTCCCAAACGTGATCCATCGCGCTGCCTAACGGGTGGTGAGGCCACAAACACTTCCACCATTTACGAAACAGAAATAAAGTTATTGCAGGAGAAACACAACATGAGGTTTACAGTCACCACACACAGGAAATTACAAGACCACAATCTTCACTCACTGAAAGAATGTCATATTCTCCAGCTGCGGAGAACTTCTTGGACGAAACCACTCCAGTTTTCGGTTCAATAAAAAATTTGCCGTGCTCATTCCCATCCTCGATGCTGTAGGAGATTTCGGCGTTGGGGCCTTCGTCTTTGTCGGTGGCTATGACGCGGTAGACGGGCTCTCGCCTGGCAGCTCTCTCTCGGTCTGGCTTCTCCCGCTCAGGGAGTCTGATTTTGTAGAACTTTTGCAGAAACTGGGGTTTGTTGTCATTTTCATCAAGGATTTTCACGATGATTCTGGCAATAGTTGATTTGGGGGGACTACCGTTGTCTGTCACAGTAACCTGTATTTTTAAAGTTAACAGATTAACATGTTAAGACACCCCTTCTTCCTAATGCTACTCGGCAGGTGTGTAAAGCTCTACACTTCGCACGGCGTGAGGGCACACACACACCTCCTCCTCATTCCAGCAACAGCCTCAAGGAGGTGAGGCCTCCCATCTCTACAGGGAGAGTTGGGGGCTGGCACGGGAAGAAAGAAACAGCTGTGCCCTCGCACCCCTTCCTGACCAAGCAGGCTCTCCCCTCGCACTACTGTAACTGGAAAGTGAACCTCACCCACATGCTGAGCTCCTAAAAACTTAGTACCTTTAGGTCATGGAAGAGACACAGGAAGATTCTGCTTTACACATTTAAAGAGTCTTCTTAAAAACAATATACATTCTATGCCCTTAAAAATAAAATTTCCATACATCACATTAAAGATGTTAAACTCCATCAATAAAGTATGCTAAGCTGTCGTTTTAAAGTACATGTTAAATAAATAGTACACATTCTAATACTAGTGATCACCTTTTTACTGTGGCTGTTTTCCTCTACGGACGTTTTATAGGAGAGTGGACATAAATATTTATATTTAAGACCAACTTATTAAATAAGATTTCAGTAAAATGCAGGTAAAATAACTTTCATTTTAAGTAAACTATCCACATATTCTTATAGTCTATTTAGGAAAAAATATGAGAGAGGCTTGAGGACCACACTGATGACTGTTTCTACATTCGTAAGCGACCATTTCACCCTTAAATCCAGTGTTCATGTTTCCATCAATGGGTAGAGTAAATGTAATGACATTAGTAATACTTATTTTCCCCCCACCCAAACCCCCACCTCCTTCCAAATTAATTACCAAAATACTAAAAACATTAAAGTAGACTGAAGCCTGGCAGGTGTAAATCCTGTTGTTTATTAAAGTGTGACTATATCCCCATGGTGCTTGTCAAAAGTGTTTCAGTACTTGTCCTTCTTTATATTATTTACCCTCCTAAGCTTTTTCAAAATAAAATAAAACCAAGCTTTATTATTTTAAACTCTCAAAACACTTCCTTTTCATCAGTTTGCATATGAGCTTTAGAAAAACAGTAAAGAAAAATATGAGCAAGCACTATGTTTTTTTTTAAGTATTCATCACCAAATTGTTCCTAAGTTTGGGTTCAAGACCAGTAGCTAGTCACGGCTTTCAACATGCAGTGGAGACAAACTACCTCCAAGACAGCCAGATCAATGCCAGCACTGGTTCTCAAATCACCTCCCCAACAGGGCCCTACTGAAAAATACACAAGATATGAACACTGAAGGGAAACCTTCTCACCAATGTCTAAATATTACTTTCAAAATGCTATATATCTGGTATCTGCTTCCACCTAGCATTTGATATTCACTAAGAAAAGAGGGCTCTGGAGTAAGGTATGCAATTAATGTGATATTTGCAAGGAACAGAGCAAAATGTCAGTTGAACTGCTGCTCTCCTATTTTGCCATCTGTTTATTTTTGTCAGTGACAGCATTCACCCCTTCTGTCAATCCTTGCAGTGATGGAATGAAAATTCAAAACTCTGCTCTAGCATAATGAAAATGAATTCAAGGGAACTACATACCCTATGAACTAAAAACTCAGATGTGATATGGGAAGAAATTGCCAATGGGGAACGCACCGTGGCTGTGAAACCACCTTTTCGAGAGGGTATTCCTAATTCAGGCACACACGCACACATGCACTGCACACCCATGGAAACGAGTGACTGACCAAGTTAAGAAAATCTGGCCAAGGATAAAACGAAATGAAGCAGGCAGCGTTATAAACAGCAATATAAAAAGAGGATTTCAAAAATGACAGTTTAGAATTTTGTCCCTTATACTGTTAGAGTGGAAGAGGAGCACTGACAATTAAACAAAATCAAGTGGTCTTTTCGAGTCTGGCTTTGATGATGAACACCAGCTTCCACACGGGACACGGGGGTCTCTAGTCCCGCTCCAGGGGCCGCCCGTCTGCTGGCTGCTTCCTGGTGGCACGTCCATGATCTCATCAATCTACGTCGACGTTACACGCCACCTCCCCTCTCCAAATTACACAGTTTTCACTGCAACATTATTAACTATTAATTAGCCAAAACCCAGGTGACCAACAAATGATAACAAGCTGTGGGTTTTTTAAGAACCAGAAGGCATTTTAAATTACTCATGACAATGAGAAGCTTTATTAGAACTTTCTAGAAGAGCACATCTGAGACTTCAATCTACTTTTACTTTTGAGGCATTTAAGAAGCACTAACTAAATAATTTACAGTTTAAAATGCAAAAATAATGCAACTGTTGGAGAACAAAAAAAAAAAAAAAAAAAAACTGAATCCGGAAACAGTTACCTCTAGTTAAAAAGGCTGAACTAGAACTACAAATACCAACATAAGTATATCTCAAAAACGTAATACTAAAGGGAAAAGAGATGTATACAGAGAAACATCACTTATCGAAATGCAGATGAATTCCAAGTGACACTATCCACAGTTATGTTTGCTCCCTGCGTGCACGAGCAGAAAGCACAGACAGCCCATGACAGTGGCTGTGTATCTGGGAATGGCACTGGGGTAAAGGAAACATGAGCTGTATCCGTTAACAATCTCTTTACATTCCTTTTTCCTAATAACCAGTAAATAATAATACGACAAAATGTCAACAGCTAAGAATACCAGTTAATGGGGACAAGATTATTCTTTCCCGTGACACTTACAAATACAAATCTTTAAATATTAAAGATAAAAAAAAAATACTTACCTCTAGTATGTGTTCATCTTGCTGCTCTCGGTCTAGCTTCCTTGATGTAGTTGTGATGAGGCCTGTAAAATGACAGCAGTTCATTAATCCTCACAAAATAAGTCCCATTACAAAATACTGCAATAAAAACCACACTCTCGCAAATTTCTTCTCAAGGAAAAAAAGTAAGATTACTAAAGAAACATAATTTCCAGGTATGGTTATTTTCTCTACAAACAACAATATACTTGATATTTTCTCACTTTCATGACTCAAAAACATAAATGATATATATTAAGAAAGTGGGAAAACCCAAATCAGTCACAGTTTCTATTTGTTAGTAGTTTCAACATACATTTTGTCAGAAAAGATTTTTTTAAAGTGAGATGAAGTTATCCAGGATTTGAATCTCATCCACCTCCTTTAACTGTTCAATAGACAATGAAGAGTTGACAGAAACAACTTCTGTATTTTAAAAGGGTCACTGAAAATAGCTCTAACTTATTACCTTTGACTTATCCAAGCTCATAAATAAAAAACTGTTATAGAAAGTAAGAAATAAATAAATATTAAAAAAAGAAAAAGAAAAAAAACGCCGGGCGCGGTGGCTCACGCCTCTAATCCTAGCACTTTGGGAGGCCAAGGTGGGTGGATCACCTGAGGTCAGGAGTTCAAGACCAGCCTGGCCATCAAGGTGAGACCCCATCTTTAAAAAAAGAAAAAGTAATGTCATTTTCCAGGTAATCTTGCTCATTTAATTTACCATGATAAATGATTCTCAAAGAAATTCCATATTCTTAAAAAAAAATTTTTTTTCTTTCCAACTAGAATATCTATATGAGTTTTGACCTCTCTTGAGAACTTTAATAACTGCCTAAACTGTCAGCATATGCTGGAACCCGAAGGCAATTATAATTTATAAAATATATTCTTGTGATTCACCAAACACACAAACAACATTCCCCTAACCACTAAAATGCTGCCCCAATCCAGGGTGATGGCGGACAGGTGCTTGCAGGAGGATGCACCTCCGGCCTTAAAATCAGGTGAGGCCTGCGTGGCAGGACAGCTGCCAGGGGCACACATTCTCCTGGCAGCGCTGCGGTTTTTTCCCACAGGGAAATACTTCAAATAGTTCACATTTAAGAATAGACTTTATTAATCTAATTTATTTTCTCCTATAATCTTAATTTCACAGAACTACCAATTAAGGGCTATTCAAAATGTTTCTCTGCGGTTGTAAGCGAACGGTTTTGTGTTTTCATTTAATTCAAAGGTTTCTTTCTTCCTTTAAGTGGTTAGTAAGAATCTCAATCAACCTTATTTTCCTCACAGTGCAATGAAACAGTGTTCTCTTTTCAATAAAAACAACAGAAGACTGTATCACAGCTCCACACTGGGGTTTTCCCAAACCATACTTGCGGATTAAAAGGGGCTCAAGGAAAATGCTTCACACTGCTTAAGGGTGTAAAAATGATGCTTAAATGTGGCACAAGCTTAACTTTCATTAGTCAAAAACGTTTTAAGTTAATCCCTTTTTCCCCCTATCAAAAATGTACCACCCTCCCGTAACTGTGGTTTTAAATAGTTCAGGAACGACAAGAAGCCACTTGATCAGCCCTATCTAATTATTGTGATGTGTCCACCAAGAAGTTGTGATCAATGGTAGTATCACATGGAACAGCAGCTAGACACATTCACTGCAAAATAATATTCTTCTACAAAGCACTTAATTACTCACCAACAGCACTGCGCAAATACTTGTGAGCAAATACAATTCCCCACTTTACAGTTTACTTACAGCACACAAGGCTAACAAAACCTGCACCTATGTCCACACTACCAATTCCACATAAAAAGGTTGGGCGTGATGGCTCACACCTGCAATCCCAGCACTTTGGGAGTCCAAGGCGGGTGGATCACCTGAGGTCAGGAGTTCCAGATCAGCCTGGCCAACATGGAGCCCTGTCTCTACTAAAAACACAAAAACTTAGTTGGGCACGGTGGCAGGCGGCTGTAATCCCAGCTACTCAGGAGGCTGAGGCAGGGTAATTGCTTGAAACTGGGAGGAGGAGGAGGCCGCTGTGAGCTGAGATTGTGCCACTGCACTCAGCCTGGGCAACAGAGCAAGACTCCATCTCAAAAACAAAAAATCCACGTAAAGCCAAAAGGCAACCTGACCACCTCCTTTCTTCCTGGGTCTGAAATTATCTGCACGTTCTATACCTCTCAAATTAATTCTCCTCCGTTAACTCAAATTAACTCCATCCCAATGCAATGCACAGGAATGCCCCTTTCTTTCCATTTCAGCCTGACTGCTCTGTGTCACTGCCTCGCCCCTTAGTTTAAACGGAAGTGGGTTAAACTCACTGTGGGGCTGGTGTGGGTTCCTGCTGCTCGATGCTCCAACTCCTAATATTCCTTCTGTCATCATATTACTCCACAGTATTAAAGCCCCTCATTGAAAAATGCGTCTTCTTTCCTATCCTGAAAACCCGTGAGGGCAGAGGCTGATGCTCTGGTACACGCAGCTCTCTCCTATCCTCAAGAAACACTTAAATGTGCGAACATGGGAATTTCTTAAAACTATGAAAGACCATAATTAAAAATGTGTGCTAGAGTAGGAGAGATACATAAACTCCTTTGCCCCTGGAAATGGTATAAATTCACAGCTCGTAAGTGTGGGCTTCCGAGAAGCCGTTAGGACGTATTTCTAGGCAGGTGTGCAGGTGCCGCGGCGGGCTGTCAGGTGCCGGCAGCAGCCCCAGGTCCTGAGCAGCACAGCTCTGAAGCGCAGGGAGAGTCGTGGGGACACGGGCAGGCGTGACTCAGACCACAGGCACAGGAGTGAGTATGAAACTAAAAAGAACAGTAGGTCTACAAAAACGGTAAAGAAAATAGCAGGCCAGTCTTCAGCCTAGGAAGCCATCTGCTGAAGAGAAGCTTGGTGTCCCCGAAGCTAAAGGTGAGGATTTTAAGGAGGACATCCTTCGGAGGAGCCTGGAAGGAAGGAGAAAGTGAGGCAGGGGGCAGCCCAGGAGAAGCATTTCCTTTATGAAGAGAAGGTTGTCTCACGTGCCGCTGTAAACAAGAGACGAGGCAGATGTGGACCTCCACTAACAAGTCGTCACCCTGAGCCTCCTGAGGCCAGTGAAATCTAAACTAATTAAAATTCAGTGAGGTTTACACTTCAGCTCCTCAATCACACTAGGCCATATTTCCAGGGTGCAACAGCCCCGGGGGCCGGTGAGGACAGCGAGGAGCAAGGCAGACAGATGCAGAACGCACTCCCGCCGCAGGAAGCTCTGCCGGCCAGCACGGGTCTACACAGGAGACAACCCACAAAGCAAGGCCCTGCAAGAAACCCTGCAAGGTGGGTTTACTTTCCTGCAGAGAACACGTTAACATAGTTCAGACTGACAAAACAAATAACAGCAACAACAAAAAACGTTCTTTCTACATTCACAACATTCTTAGCGAAAAGAATCTTAGCAAGGCTGCCACGGCGCTTACTCCTAATGCCATCTCCAGAGACAGGCTGGGCACGAATGTCCTTTGGGGCGGCACCAGGCGGTGCAAAGGGGTAAAATTAGGGCTCCTCATGGGATTTTCATACAAAATGAACACAGAAAACAGAATTTCCGAATGAAGCAATGAAATACTGGGCATTTGGGGTGTCTTTTAGAGGTGAACTTTACCTTACAGCCATCAACACACTGAGTGCCTAACCCCTACCTGAACCCCCTGCACTCTGGCCCGTGAAGACATCTACTGAATGTGTTCTGTGTTCATGTTCATTCATGCCTCTGTGTGCATCTCACTCCTGCGCATCATCACCCCACCCTGCCCTCCTGAAACACCTACTTCAAACATAATTCCAAAGTGCCGCCGTCCCACATACCCACGACGTTATTAACCTAGCAGGCAGGAAGTGTCCTAATAAGTATGTCCACTTCTTTCCTTTTTGACATCTGTGCTCATCTGCAATATTTTTTTGCCAAATCCCAGAAAGATATATACTTAGAAAAAACTGGGCCAGGCATGGTGGGTCACATCTATAATCCCAACACTTTGGGAGGCCGAGGTGGGCAGATCACCTGAGGTCAGGAGTTCGAGACCAGCCTGTACAATATGGCAAAACCCTGTCTCTACTAAAAATACAAAAATTAGCCAGGTGTGGTGGTGTGTGCCTGTAGTCCCAGCTACTTGGGGAGGCTGAGGCAGGAAATCACTTGAACCCAGAGGCAGAGTTTGCAGTGAGCTGAGATCACACCACTGCACTCTGGTCTGGGCAACAGAACAAGACTCCATCTCAAACAAGAAAAAGGAAACTGTACGAACTTCGGAACTAGAGAGAAACCTTTAAGATTATCAAGTTCAGTTGCCTGAACCAAAGAGAAGTTATACTTTTCCAAGGCCACTAGCAAGTCATGAACAAAGCCAGGAGTAGGATTTAGTTCTCCTGTGGCTCAGATGAGAAATGTTTTCCTCCCCATCACACCTAACTGCGTAATTTGCTGCCTTATAGTATTTCAACTATCCATGAACTCTGAACTGTGACTTTCACAAATTGTAAGGAAAAAAAAAGGAAAGATTCATCATTAGTCATGTAATAGGTCTGAAGAAGCAGGGCAGGAGATAAAAGAGGCGGCCAAGGCAGAAAAATACATATGCAATTGATTTCTTTTCTGTGTTTTATCTTCCTCTTCTGCAAGCGCTGATAAATTAAAAATAGGAAGAAAAACTAGAAATTTTTCTTTCCTTGGTCCAGAAAAACACTGCATTCTATATAATAAAACTATGATAAACGTAGGTGGGCTGAGAGTAGCCATAGTATATTCTCACCAATGAGCTGTTACCAGTTCACCCCATAAACGTACGCACGACGAAGGAACCAAACTTTACTGCACTTGATAAACATCATTAAAAAACCACTCATGGCCTCATTGAAACCCCGTCTCAATGTCACTTTAGACATTTAGAGATTAGTTCATTTAGAACAGAGAGAATGTCAGATGAGCTATAATGTTTCAGTATAAAATTGTACTCTTTGACATTTCTTACAAATCAATACCAAAACCATCTCCAAACGTCTCAAAATTCAAGAGATCAAGTAGACTTTGCAAAGTAGCTCAACATAAAAGTGAACGTCGAGGGACCAGTAGGGCAAGACGGTCACATGAGATGGTCCACACGGCTGGAGCGATCTATGCCTTCGGTCACCTGTGTGGTACTGTCCACTCAGAAAGTGGAGATAAGACAGTCTTGTTTGCAAGAAACCAGGATGGAGGCTAGAAGCTGGCAAAGACTACTTTACATGTGAGAAACAGTAGGACAGACTAGAGCACAGGGTGCAGACAAAAATCACGGTATAGGAGCCACACACAGAAAACAGGAAGCAGGAAGCAAAGGCTGTTGCCAGCAACTCTGTGTTGGGGGAAAGTGTGGACACGGCTGGATGAGAAGACATTTGTGCTGCTCCGCTACGACCTACACCTACCCACCATCACCCTACATGTGAGTGAGGCCACCGAGGACCCGCCAGCCAGCAGCCAAGCCTGGGCAAGAGCACAACTGCCCTAATTTGGCAGAACCCTAAATTCGGACAGCTATTTCGAGCCACTCAAGTTTGACAGCTTGTTAGCCAAGGTACTATGCCTTAATATATTATTTTATTACATATATATATTAACCTCTCTAAGCCTATAAAAAACTGAGATATCTCCACATATGTATGTATATATCTTCACATATGTATATGTAAATATGAGGAGATAACTCCATTTTTACAGGCTTAGGGAGATTAAGTTGATTACTCAATGTTATTTAGCAAAGTATTGAAGTTGGAAATTCAATAAATCTAGTTAGTCTACATTAAAAGTGAAAGAAACCAGGAAGGGACTGGAGACTTTGGTTCTATAAAAAATAAATTTCAACATCAGCACTGTGGATGAAAATAGATGACATAATCCCAGCACTTTGGGAGGCTGAGGCAGGTGAATCACTTGAGGCCAGGACTTGGGAGACCAGCCTGGTCAACATGGAGAAACCCCGTCTCTACTAAAAATTCAAAAATTAGCAGGGTGTGGTGGCACACACCCATCATCCCAGCCAGTTGGGAGGCTGAGGCACAAGACTCACTTGAACCTGGGAAGTGGAGGTTGCAGTGAGCTGACAGCAAGCCACTGCAATTGAGCCTAAGCGGCAGAGTGAGACCGTCTCAAAAATAAATAAGAAAGATGGCAGCTTGAGAAGGAAAAAAAAATAGGATTTCTGAGTATGACTCAGGTCCAACTGCAAAGAGACAGCAAGCACTTGTGATCCACAGTAAGAGTCACTGACGACCCCACACTGTAAAAAGGCAGGGTCCCGGGCCTACACGAAGGAAACTCTGCAGCCCTGTGTTCACCTCACCCAGCAGGAAATTTACTTGGAGCCACTTTTTAATTACTCTATTAGAGAATAAGCAGAGGATGGGAAAAGATCAAGGGAACAACGTAAAAATCTGGTCACCTGATAGCTCCTTTTACTCTGGTTGTTTCTTCTACCCCCTACCAACGATTTCGGCTTGTCTACCGTTTTATTTTACAATAATTCATGAACGACAGCCATGAACATTCTAGAAAAGCACTGTCCAACAGAAATGTCTGTGATGATTTCTGTGTTCTATAATTTGCACTGTCCAATATGGTAGCACCCGGCCACATGTGGCCACAATGTGCTTGAAATGTGGCTAATGTCACTGAATAACTCAATTTTAAGTAATTTAAACAGTCACCAATTATATCTGATCCTTTATAGCATCTCCAATTTCAAATGCTGCCTGTCAAAAGTAAAAACTTTAACATCTGCAATATTCAAAATATTTTTCTATGGTTAAAAATTGAAGCAAAAATATTTACCTCAACCCAAATTTTTATAGACATCTGTCTTAATCCTACATAGCAAAAAGAAAGTAAAAGTTTCCCAGATTTTGACTGTGTGGATGCTGCCCTGCCACGCTCCTGCCTGTGCTTCCCTGCTGTGAGCCTCCAGTGGGCTCAGCTGGCAACGAAGAGGCCCGCATGAGACCTGCTGGTTTAGAGCTTCACCCGAACACGTAACAATCGAGGGCTCTGTGCTTAGCTGTGACCTGGAGAATCATTCCTAGTTTTTTGTTTTGTTTTTGCTAAGCACTAAAAGTGAATAAATTAAAACTCTGTTCGTCAACAGTAACGACGTTGCAATGTTTACTATCTCAGTCACCCACTTTTCAGTTTGCCCTGTTATCCAACTTCTCGGAATGCTGTTCCCAAAGATGTCACCATGAGAGACATATACAAAAGCCTAAGACAAGGCTCTTGTCCTCAAAGGCATACAAGTTATTTAAGGGAACGGCTCCCACACGTAAAAGGCAGAGGTGGACATCAAACTGTTCTCTCATAGTTTGTTTTTTTTTTTGAGACGGAGTTTCGCTCTTGTTACCCAGGCTGGAGTGCAATGGCGCGATCTCGGCTCACCGCAACCTCCGCCTCCTGGGTTCAAGCAATTCTCCTGCCTCAGCCTCCTGAGTAGCTGGGACTACAGGCACGCGCCACCATGCCCACCTAATTTTTTGTAGTTTTAGTAGAGACGGGGTTTCACCATATTGACCAGGATGGTCTCGATCTCTTGACCTCGTGATCCACCCGCCTCGGCCTCCCAAAGTGCTGGGATTACAGGCTTGAGCCACCGCGCCCGGCCATAGTTTGGTTTTTAGCCAACACTAATTTCGTGCTTCCTAAGACCCAGCTCTGGGCTAAGCACTGTGCATACGTCACTGTCACTGGGTACTCACAGCAACCCTATAAGGGAGCTACTAGGATACTGTCTTTATTCTCAAGATAGCTGAGGTTTAGAAGGTAAAATCATAGCCAGCCAAAGGCAAAGCTGAGATGTGACTCCAAGTCTGTTTGCTTCTAGAGTCCAAGCCCTTAATTCACAGACAACTCTAAATGTATATATCATATTTAATATGTACAATGATTATACAACAAAGTTATTCAGTGAATGAAGACCCAGGTCTCTCCCACTTTCCTCTGGGATTAGAATGTTCTCTCTGCCAAACCCAGCTCCTTTTGCAGGATGGAGTCCTCTGGACACCATCACTTCCTCACAATGTTTGATTAATCACAGCACTATTTTGATGAACCCTTGACTGCAGGCATGCACTCTAGGTACCTACCATTTCCCCCCAATGATTTCTCTGAAACACTTTCACATACTCCACTCTGTTCTAAGTTTAAGAACTATAATCGTAGCATATTTGGTGGTTAAGGAAGCTTCTAGTTTAGGTTTAGGGGTCTTGAGCGTCATTTCTTCAGGGGCTGCAACCACCAGGAACTGGAAGTCAGATTTCTGCCCTTCCTTGCTGACTGCGGCAGGGACTGCTCCCAGGGACATTCAGTGTGCTTTAAGATCAGCAACTTTAAGGTCCATTACAATAAAACACCCGTAAGACACTCATGGCAGACTGTGAAACCTGCACTGCTAGGGTAACTTTCAGTCAAGCAGTACTACAAAAACCAGCAGGGCAAGGTGCTGGTATGAAACGTGCACATGCGTGTACAGACGTAACCTGTACACACACACACTCCTGTGCATAATAGTTGTGGCACGCTAAACCATGAAATATTACCTCTGGCTACTCCTGGGAAATAGAACAGGTGGCTGGGGAGAAAGAGGAGAGAGGAAGAGAACTGCTAATGAGCACATTACTTAAATAAATTTAAATATTAAAACATGTTAAAGCTCAGAATGAAAGAATATAGAAATACTTTTGTGGGCTGAAAACTAGACTTAGGCTGGAAAATCTCAAATAAATTATTTTTAAGCCTTAAATATATATAAACATATGGCCATGTATATAAAATATCAGAGCTTCTTAGAAATATCATAGTGAGATATCCTATGCAACTTTTTGTAATATTTTTGAGTTGGAACAAATTTTGAACGAAATGGATCGTGCACACTAAAGCATCCTCTTACTGTAAAAACGAAGTCTGCTAAAGCCAGAGGGTCTTTCACAATGCTCTAGCCCAAATCCTGCACCTTAAACATGAGGGACTGAGGTCTAGGAATGTGAAATAAATTCCTGAAGGTCAGAGTCAGCAGAGGAGTGGAAGCCAGCATGGAGCTCCCACCGAGGAAACTGTTTAGAAGTATCTGCTGCTCAAGCCTTTTCCATCAAGGGCCTGCACTGGAATCACACGGTACGAATGCCACAGACCCTTCTTCCTGCCCCATGCCAGGTCCACCAAATCACACTCTCCACCCATGCGGACCCAGCCTGTACGATCTCATAAAGGTTTCCGGCTAATTCCATCCCACGCTGACCTTCTTGGCACAAGTGCTGAAAGAAGGTAAAAAAAAATTCAGTGGTAGTTCAACAGCTTTGTTTTCAGTCATGACAATAAGTAGTACTGGACATATTCTGGAACAAAGCATATTATCCATTTCTTTAAAATACTATTTGAGATACAGAGAACTACAACAGGACTATGGCTATATGGTATTTCTCCAGTATGCTTCTTAAGTACCATAAGAACCATGATTAATGTTGCAAAAAACGCAACGCAGTGGCCAGAACACGGCCCACCTGAAGATTCCAACGGTTCTTCAACTGCTTCCTAAGTCCTGAAACATCGCCCAGAATCTTCCTGACAAATCGGCAACTACTGAGCAAATCATTAAAGCCTGTGAGAACATAAGTTAAATGAAATGTAGTCTTTCCAACATAAAAAAATAGTAAGACTCTAAATGGCTACAGAAATTTCCATTTAACAGCATATTTTCCGTCGTTTTGGAAATGGCTTTGTGGTGGACTGAGTGGTGGCTCCTGCCCTAAAGGTAGGTGTGTATGCCCCCGGCACCTGGGAGAGTGAACTGATTTGGATAAGCACCTCTGAAGATGTAATTAAGAACTGCAAGATGAGACCACCTGGCAATTATGGTGCACCCTAAATTCAATAGCAAGAGTCTTTTTAAGAGAAAGGCAGAGGGAGACTTGAGTCAGAGACCCAGGGAAGAAGGCCACCTGATGAGAGAGGCGGAGACTGGAATGCTGCTGTCACAAGCCAGCAGGTGCCTGCAGCCTAGGAGGAGCAAGGATGGGTTCTCCCCTAGCATCCTCAGAGGGAGCGAGGCCCTCACAGCACCTGGCATTCAAACTTCTGGCCCCTAGAACTGTGAGAGAACACCACTCTGTTGTTTGAATTTATGCTAACTAGCCTTAGTGAAATATACCTTTTTAAAAATTAATGGCTTTACTGAGGTATAACTGATACATAAAAAACTACATATATTTAATGTATACAATTTGATGAGTTTGAATATACACACTAATACATCTCTTTATTTGAATAGCAAATAATAGTACTGAAAAAAATATTTTCTAAAAGATAAGAATTGGGTAACATTGGCAAACAATTCCGTAATGCAGAGATAGCCACTTTTATTACTTTCTGTAATAAGTCAGGTCTAAAGCTGATTTGAGATGAAACCAAAAAATCCCAAGTTAAGCCATGATTTCCCTCAGAAGGAAGAGAAAGCAGGATGCCTCGGCTCTGGAATGGGACTTCCTCGACATCTCTGACTGAGAACCACAACTGAGCTAAGTCTTTTGTTTTGAGTTGTGAATATATAAAATATAACACAACCTGTATATCGGTTCTATCTGAGTATATTATTTCTCATTTTCTTCCTCCCCCATAAGAGAAGAAAAACTCCCTAAATATTTATTAACTCTATTCGTAATTATAAATTCTATCTTAACACCTGCAACACACAAAGTTCCAACTATAAATCTGTTTCCACTAAGGACCGAGACAGAACAGACTCTGATTCTGCGTAAAGCAAAATAGCCTCTCTGTCCTCCAGAGTTCGTTTCGCCAGCACCATGCGTCTCAGGGTACAATGATTAATCACATTTTTTTTCCAAAACTAATTTACCTAACGTTATCTTGAGTCAGATAAACTTACCTGTGCTCACCGTGCGTTTGCCCAAACTGTCCTATTTTAACCACACCTTTTGCTTCTCTTATACAGAATCTAAGAAAGAACAGTAGGAAGGCCTAACACCAGGGAAAATTAACATACAGTACATAAATAAGGAAGATAGGAGCGGTCGGAGGTTTAAGTATAAGTGCTTTAGAACTTTACAGGGCATGTCGGGCACCTAAAAGTGTTTTTAAATGTCTGTGGCTCAGTGTTGAAAGAGCTTGCTCTGAGTTAGGTAAGCCACTGAAGAACCACAGGCACCAACCAGATGCATGGAAAACAAACAGGGCAACACAATTCC